CGGTGGAAAGACGGTCGTGACTATATATGTTGATTTACTATTCATTGTTGGCTTTTTATCTTACATTCACTCTTCATTGTTGGCTTTATATCTTACATTCATTCTTCATTGTTGGCTTTTTATATTACATTCACTCTTCATTGTTGGCTTTTTATCTTACAATCATTCTTCATTGTTGGCTTTTTATATTACATTTACTCTTCATTGTTGGCTTTTTATCTTACATTTATTATTCATTGTTGGCTTTTTATATTATATATTTACTCTTCATTGTTGGCTTTTTATCTTACATTCACTCTTCATTGTTGGCTTTTTATATTATATTTACTCTTCATTGTTGGCTTTTTATCTTACATTTATTCTTCATTGTTGGCTTTTTATCTTACATTCATTCTTCATTGTTGGCTTTTTATATCATATTTACTCTTCATTGTTGGCTTTTTTATCTTACATTCATTCTTCATTGTTGGCTTTTTATATTATATTTACTCTTCATTGTTGGCTTTTTATCTTACATTTATTATTCATTGTTGGCTTCTTATATTATATTTACTCTCATTGTTGGCTTTTTATATTACATTTATTATTCATTGTTGGCTTTTTATCTTACATTTATTCTTCATTGTTGGCTTTTTATATTATATTTACTCTTCATTGTTGGCTTTTTATCTTACATTTATTCTTCATTGTTGGCTTTTTATATTATATTTACTCTTCATTGTTGGCTTTTTATCTTACATTCATTCTTCATTGTTGGCTTTTTATATTATACTAATGATGGTGCGCGCGCATCCGTGACATGAGGAATTGAGGAATTGACGGTGGAAAGACGGTCGTGACTATATATGTTGATTTACTATTCATTGTTGGCTTTTTATCTTACATTCACTCTTCATTGTTGGCTTTATATCTTACATTCATTCTTCATTGTTGGCTTTTTATATTACATTCACTCTTCATTGTTGGCTTTTTATCTTACATTCATTCTTCATTGTTGGCTTTTTATATTACATTTACTCTTCATTGTTGGCTTTTTATCTTACATTTATTATTCATTGTTGGCTTTTTATATTATATATTTACTCACTCACATGGCTAAACTATAGGTTAAATTATGATGACATACAGATCGAACTTCCGAATATACTAAAAATAAAAATTGAACAGCTATTGCAGCAAGATCTGGCAAAATTATCTCTTACGAAAACATACTCAAACTATAGGTTACTTTATGATTCATTTAATCCAAAAAATTACTTTTCATGCAATCTGGCTTCAGCTTTAGTGAGTTTTATTGCACAGATCAGATTAATGTCAACATTGATCAAAGAAAATCATATTTACGCAATTAAGAAAGAAGATTTATACTGTGGGTTATGTGGAAGTCAGATAACTGATGAAATATACCATTTTACTGCTGAATGCGGGGATCTGGAAGGAGAGAGAAAAAAGATCCTGAAAAGTCTTCCTAGACCGCATTTGAACTCAATAAAGCTAATAAAAACTGTTTCAGATAAGAAAAGTTGGGCAATTGAACTGTTCAACTTTCAAAAAGCGGTTGGGAATAAAATTGCACTCATGGAAGAGAGAAGAACAGGGGCACAACAAAAGTCACCCTGTTTGACATACCTTGACTGTAAATACTATATTTTCACCTGTTCTCTTATGGTTAATATTGTCTGTAACTCCACGGAGAATCCGTACAGGGCAAGATGCCCTAATAAAGCTGTTTTGTTGTTGTTGTTGTTTATATATTTAACTCTTCATTGTTGGCTTTTTATCTTACATTCACTCTTCATTGTTGGCTTTTTATATTATATTTACTCTTCATTGTTGGCTTTTTATCTTACATTTATTCTTCATTGTTGGCTTTTTATATTACATTTACCCTTCATTGTTGGCTTTTTATCTTACATTCATTCTTCATTGTTGGCTTTTTATATCCTATTTACTCTTCATTGTTGGCTTTTTATCTTACATTCATTCTTCATTGTTGGCTTTTTATATTATATTTACTCTTCATTGTTGGCTTTTTATCTTACATTTATTATTCATTGTTGGCTTTTTATATTATATATTTACTCTTCATTGTTGGCTTTTTATATTACATTTATTATTCATTGTTGGCTTTTTATATTATATTTACTCTTCATTGTTGGCTTTTTATCTTACATTTATTCTTCATTGTTGGCTTTTTATATTACATTTACTCTTTATTGTTGGCTTTTTATCTTACATTCATTCTTCATTGTTGGCTTTTTATATCATATTTACTCTTCATTGTTGGATTTTTATCTTACATTCATTCTTCATTGTTGGCTTTTTATATTATACTAATGATGATGCGCGCGCATCCGTGACATGAGGAATTGAGGAATTGACGGTGGAAAGACGGTCGTGACTATATATGTTGATAATAATATAATATAATAATAATAATTATTATTATTATCATTAGATAATGATAATGATCATAATGATGATGCGCGCGCATCCGTGACAGCGATGAGGAATTGTTGAGGAAAGACGGTCGTGACTATATATGTTGATAATAAAATAATAATAATAATATAATTATAATTATTATTATTATTATCATTAGATAATGATAATGATCATTATGATGATGCGCGCGCATCCGTGACAGAGATGAGGAATTGTTGAGGAAAGACGGTCCTGACTATATATGTTGATAATAATAAAATAATAATAATAATATAATAATAATAATTATTATTATTATCATTAGATAATGATAATAATTATAATGATGATGCGCGCGCATCCGTGACAGAGATAAGGAATTGTTGAGGAAAGACGGTCCTGACTATATATGTTGATAATAATAAAATAATAATAATAATATAATAATAATAATTAATATTATTATTATCATTAGATAATGATAATGATTATAATGATGATGCGCGCGCATCCGTGACAGAGATGAGGAATTGTTGAGGAAAGACGGTCGTGACTATATATGTTGATAATAAAATAATAATAATAATATAATTATAATTATTATTATTATTATCATTAGATAATGATAATGATCATTATGATGATGCGCGCGCATCCGTGACAGAGATGAGGAATTGTTGAGGAAAGACGGTCCTGACTATATATGTTGATAATAATAAAATAATATAATAATATAATAATAATAAATATTATTATTATCATTAGATAATGATGATGATTATATGATGCGCGCGCATCCGTGACAGAGATGAGGAATTGTTGAGGAAAGACGGTCGTGACTATATATGTTGATATACAATGCAAATCAATAACGCGCCATCTATAACAACAAATGAAAACATTAAGACGCGAATGTTTCCCTCTCACATCAATAAAGCTACTACTGTCCTTACTGCAATGAAAAATATTGGGAGGGCTTGGTTCATCAGTGATGAACCCTCACAGTGGTTTCGCCAATTTAATCTACCAGACCGCTTCTTAAGAGCTCTAATAATGTATTGGATCATTTTGCTTTTATATTCTACACTAACAGATATAATTTTAGAAATGGCATTGATTCAAACTATGGACATAAGCTTTTAGCACATTAGAATTACATATAAATATATACAATGTCTCCATAGGTCCCCATGTGTAAGGGTTCAGCCGCCGGGGCAGGTCGAGTGGTAATTGGCATCACCTATCTCAAGACCAAGATTTGACATACTTGAGGGAGAGATAAAAGATAAAATAAAGATTATTTATATTCATTTTGATTTGCGAAATGATTAAAATGTCATCTACAGAATTATAAGAGAAATCACATATATCTATTTAGCTTCGTGTGTGTGAATTGACAAATATAATCTATATTAATACAATATAAAGGACTGCGGTGTATGATTATAAAGTAATACTTAAAGCCCTCCCCGCATAAGTTTCTTTTTTTGTGAAAATCAATATTAATTTCAAAGAGAAATATGTACTATTTTCAACTTTTTGGATGACGTATGAAAAGGTTGAATATATGAAGAGTAATGGTCTATATATGATTGGATGACGTATGAAATGGTGTGAAAATGTGAAGAGTAATGGCGAACAGAAAAACAAAAGTGTCCAGGGGCGGGAATCGAACCCACAACCTTCTGCTTACCGGGCAGGTGCCATGTCCACTAGGCTACCCTGGACATATTTTTCCGTTCGTAACTAATACTTAAAGTAACTTTTTTAATACAATATAAAGGACTGCGGTGTATGATTATAAAGTAATACTTAAAGCCTCCCCGCATAAGTTTCTTTTTTTGTGAAAATCAATATTAATTTCAAAGAGAAATATGTACTATTTCCAACTTTTGGATGACGTATGAAAAGGTTGAATATATGAAGAGTAATAGTATATATATGATTGGATGACGTATGAAAGGGTGAAAATGTGAAGAATAATGGCGAACGGAAAAACAAAAGTGTCCAGGGGCGGGAATAGAACCCACAACCTTATGCTTTACCGGGCAGGTGCCATGTCCACTAGGCTACCCTGGACGTATTTTTCCGTTCGTAACCTAATACTTAAAGTAACTTTTTAATACAATATAAAGGACTGCGGTGTATGATTATAAAGTAATACTTAAAGCCTCCCCGCATAAGTTTCTTTTTTTTGTGAAAATCAATATTAATTTTCAAAGAGAAATATGTACTACTTCCAACTTTTTGGATGACGTATGAAAAGGTTGAATATATGAAGAGTAATGGTCTATGGTCTGGTTTTGTTTTTTCCGTTCGCCATTACTCTTCACATTTTCACCCTTTCATACGTCACCCAATCATATATAGACCATTACTCTTCATATATTCAACCTTTTCATACGTCATCCAAAAGTTGGAAATAGTACATATTTCTCTTTGAAATTAATATTGATTTTCACAAAAAAAGAAACTTATGCGGGGAGGCTTTAAGTATTACCTTATAATCTACACCGCAGTCCTTTATATTGTATTAAAAAAGTTACTTTAAGTATTAGTTACGAACGGAAAAATACGTCCAGGGGTAGCCTAGTGGACATGGCACCTGCCCGGTAAGCAGAAGGTTGTGGGTTCGATTCCCGCCCCTGGACACTTTTGTTTTTCCGTTCGCCATTTACTCTTCACATTTTCACCTTTCATACGTCATCCAATCATATATAGACAGACCATTACTCTTCATATATTCAACCTTTTCATACGTCATCCAAAAAGTTGGAAATAGTACATATTTCTCTTTGAAATTAATATTGATTTTCACAAAAAAAGAAACTTATGCGGGGAGGCTTTAAGTATTACCTTTATAATATATATTGATAATGCTTCTTTGAAGTATTACAATAACTATTTTTTATTTCAAAATCCCCTATAGGCTTTTGAGATATTTACTCTAATATGATATTGGTTATAACTTCCCTGAACTTTAATATAAAAGTTTTCTTTTTTTTATTTTTTCTAAATGCCAAAAATAGAATAATGAAATTTTTTCTTGTTGCAAATTAAATATATTTGTAAGTTATCTGTGATATGAAATTAAAAATATTCAAAAATTCTATCATTCTTGTATTAAAACAGAACTATTATCTTTCATTAATTGTGAAATTATAGGGTATATTGCATTGGTGAGCACATGAATATTTCACAAATTAGATATTAGGAAGCGAACTAATTGTTTTCAAGGCCGCAACAGAGCAAATCGGATTAAGTGAGGATAATCTCTCGTCTGTAACATTGGGGGATTCGTCACGGACAGGATTATGGTCAAGGTAGATCAATATGTAGTGTGGAGAACCACCATTTACAGGCATGCCTAAGTAGCTCAATAGATCCGTTTCCTCGCCCCCCCCCCCCCCCTTTTTTTGGGAAAAATAAGTGCAAAAAATAAACTTGAATTAACCTAATTCGATCCTAACCCACCCTAAAAACACAATCAGCGTCGTAAACAATGAGGCTGCCAGAGATTTATGTTCCATAGGCTTGTCTTACCTTTGTTAGAAGAGGTTGTTTGAATTAGCATCGATTCTATAAAATGTCAAAAAAAATGTTCAATCTTCGTATTGATATTTTTAAAAGTAATTAAATCATAATATTCTTACTCAAATAGGTTTTTATTTCAACAATGAATTTGTTTAATTGAATCTAACCTCCAAAAAATTACCATTTTCAGGAGAGATCATAAATTTTAATGCTTTCAGTACTGTTTCTATTTGTAATTATACTGTATATAACAGAGGTTTGTTCATTAAAAGTAAGGTAAAAATAATATTAAAATGTTTTCGAAAATAGTGTTTTTTTTTCTCCAACATAATTTCCATTCAGATACATACACCTGGTCCAGCAATTTTATGCTTTTTTTTTACCCCCTTGTAAAAGTACGAGGTTTCGAGTTCTCAAAATAACCATTTTACATGGTCGGAAAACCTCTTTATTTAATGAAAACTTCCTCTCTCCCAGCCATTTCTCTAGAATTGGGAAGAGTAAAAGTCACACGGGGCCAAAATATCGGGAATAAGGTGGATGAGTGTCCAATTGGAAACCTAATTCGAACAATTTTGGCAGATGCTACATTCGACCTATAGGGCGGAGCATTATCGTGGTGAAAAAGTACCTTTTTCCAAGCCTATCTCGGACTTTGGCACGCAATGCTTATTTTAATCAGAAGTGTTGGATAATACTCTTCTGTGATTTTATATTAGTCATTTTTTTCTTGGAACACAACAGCATTTGTCATCTTTTGAGCCTTTTCACCAGGATCTGTCCACTGCGTTGACTGCTGTCTGGACCCTGTGTGTAGCGGTATATCCAGTTTTCGTCTACACTCACAAAACGATGCCAAAAGTCCCAAAAACTAAGAGTTATCAACAAACGATGGGAATCTTTGTCCGCATGTGTTTTTGGTCGATCGAAAGCAATCGGGGCACCCATCTGGCACACAGCTTCTTCATCTGTATATTTATATTGAAGATATAAGGTGTACGCCCTGTCTAATGAGATGCCGTGGTCTCAGCTATCTCACGTATCTTCACTCCTCGATCCTCCCTAACGATGCAATGGATATTTGATACCATATTTGGCGTGGTTGTATTCATAGGCCGTTGGGGCATAGTTCATCTTGTGTTGATTTTCGAAACGTTTTAAATAATTCATCCAGTAATGAATGGTCTTAAATGTGTGTGTGATGGGACTGAGTCTTCATGAATCTCGTTTAGCTCGGCTTTAATTTGGGAAGACGATCAACGTTTAGAAAATAAATGTTTGATAACAGCTCTAAATTCATTTTGGGATAAATCGCTACAGCGCGTGCGCGACCTCGAAACATTAAACCTTTTACGAGGGGATAAAAATAAGAACATCGCTGGAGAGACTAGGTGTGTAGCTGAATGGGGACTATGTTAAAAATAAAACATAATTTTCCGAAAACAAATTGTATTCCATTTCATTTTCTCCCTACTTATCGAACAGCCTTCTTATCTCTTATTTTGAGAGAGAGAATGCCATTTTGAATTATCAGTATTCGAGAAATACACTTCTTGATCAACTAAGATTTGATTTTTGTGTGTAAAGATAAAACAATTTGGTCAATATTCATTCCAAGAAGCAATCAAATATTTTAATAAACATCCGTTTATATTTATTAATAAATCCAAATTATATTTCGGGAGAGCATATTCTTTTGTAAAATAATTACAAAATAATCTTCTTAGCTGAGGAGTCTTCAGCTCCACTCGGTTAAATCCTGAAATGGGTTGGAGCGCTGATACATGTTTCTCTAAAGGTAAGATCAAGAATTTATGTGTGCTAACTATTCAGAAGAGTATTCTCCTACAATTTGACACCTATGTACTTAGAAACTACTTACAATATTTTAGCATAATCGAATTGCTTGAAAAACTTATGTTGTTATTTTTGTGTATTTTGTATAATACCTACTATATTGCCAACAGTTTCCTCTATGAATTGAGATAAATTTGTAAATACATTTTTTTTTTCTCTCAATTTTCAGTTTCGTGCTTTGGAGCGAATATATTTTGTGTTACATTTTTCGCCTAAAATAATTTGGTAAATTATAAAATATTCTTTTTTTATATTTTCTCGGGCTAAGCACGAGCCAAATAAATAAGACACAATCATGTGAAAATTGTATTTCAGTTAGAAATACCTAAGTGTGAACACCCACGATGGGTAATAATAGCTTCTAATATTTTGTTTTGTAAAACGCCTTTAATATTAAAAAAAATGAAAACTCGGTATGGAATAAACAAAAAATTGAAATACAATTATTCTAAACTTATTCTCGGACTAAAAAAAAAAAAACAAAAGACGAAAATATTTCTTTAAAGGTTGAGATTGCAAAGAAACACATGTTTATAAAGAAAATATTCATAAGACAAAAAATCAAATGTCGTCATATATTTCACTGGCAGGTTCTACCCTGGAGGCAGATGTAATAACAAAGTTGAATATTTTATTTTTGTCTGAGAAGCTAAGTATTTTTATGCATGCATTTCCTATGTGCCTTCTAAACACATTGATCCCATCATTTCGCACTTTTACAATATATTTTCCCTATAATCAAAATGTTATTGAATTAAAATTTTGCATTAAATATTAATATCAACGACTTTTATAGAGAACTAGCGAATATACCCGACTTCACCCGATTTTTACCCAAGTAAAAGTTTGCTAAACAAACTTTTGATAATAAATATTTTCGTGGAAAACAATCAATTTTGTACTGTATTCTTATGAAGATAAATTGATGCTTGTTACTCTTCGACAAAAACTACTAAATACCCTTTGAATTTTGTATGTTGGTGGTTGAATATATAGATTAACATATAAGCTATTTAGTTACTAAATTTGGTAATAACAAATCTTTTTGCATATTTTAGTAGGTTATAAAATTATAAGAGAGATATTTGCTATAAACTGATACTCAATGACCTAGCTTTGCCCGGGTTATTGACTAGTGAAGGTTTTCCAAGCGAAAAAATGTTAACATGTTATTTATCATTTTTTTTTTTGTGTAAAAAAAAAAAATGATAAATAACATGTTAACATTTTTTCGCTTGGAAAACCTTCACTAGTCAATAACCCGGGGCAAAGCTAGGTCATTGAGTATCAGTTTATAGCAAATATCTCTCTTATAATTTTATAACCTACTAAAATATGCAAAAAGATTTGTTTATTACCAAATTTAGTAACTAAATAGCTTATATGTTAATCTATATATTCAACCACCAACATACAAAAATTCAAAGGGTATTTAGTAGTTTTTGTCGAAGAGTAACAAGCATCAATTTATCTTCATAAGAATACAGTACAAAATTGATTGTTTTCCACGAAAATATTTATTATCAAAAGTTTGTTTAGCAAACTTTTACTGTGTAAAATTTTAACAATAGAGGGAAATAAAATTTAATTTACTAATATATAATGTTATTTATCATATATCTAGCGGATGTACCCGGGTTCGCCCGGGTTTTACCCGAGTAAAGGTTTGTCTAACGAACATTTCTTAAACAATTCTCTATAAACTTATAAAAAAAATAATAGATATATTTTGATAATTTGAAACTCGTAAATTTGAATCTCTCGATAAAGTGAACATTTTTTTCCCGATCCCTTGAAAAATACTCGATAAGTTGAATAAAATCAATATTAATTGGTTCTCTTGGTAATTGGAAGTTGAAGGAATAGTATCTTGCCTTTGAATTGTATCATTATTCTTGTCTCAAATAAATTGTCGTGTCATCCTGAATTTTGTCTTTCCTAATTTTCTACATTACAAAATCATCATTTTATCTATTCTCCCAATATATATGTTGTAGATAAATGATAAAACTCACTTTGACTTGTGCGCAATTAATAGGTAGAAATATTACTTTTGATAAATAATCTTTAAGATAATAAACTTAGTGATAATAAAACTTATAGATAAAAAAACTTGTTAACATCGTCGCAATGGGGGCTCTGCTTGCGAGTTAAATCTTCAAATCTGCAAATAACTCTAAGGATATTCAAGATATTCAAGAAATTATTTTTCAAAATTCTTCCCGGGGATATACCTAATAATATCCCAAAATTTCACGACG